TATTTTATTTATTAGTGTTTTTTTATTATTTTATTTGTAGTACTGTGAATCAAACCCTTGGCTTCACACATGCTAGGCAAGAGCTCTGTTGTTGGATTACACACTTAGCCCTACACTCACTTAATTATCTCCAATTTTTCAGGCACGGAAGTAAAGATCAGAAAGGTTGCGTTGCCCAGGCCCACACAGCCAATAATAAATGCCGGGACTGAAACATAGGTAGTAAGATTCAAGATCCTAGGAGAAAAACAAAAAGAAAAAAAAAATCAAGACGTGGTCCTCAGCTGGGTGTGGTGCTTGAAGCCTGCAATCCTAGCACTGAGGAAACGAGGAAGGAGCAGCAGTGCTGGGAGTTAAAGGACAGCCTGGGCTACATAGTGAGTTCCAGGTCAGAGCTACAAAGTGAGACACTGTGTCGAAAGAGGGGGGGGGTGGGGGAAGAAAAAGAAAGGAAGAAAAGAAGAGCTGGGTACGGTGGTGGTGGTACACACCTTTAATCCCAGCACCCCAGAGGCAGATGCAGATGGATCTCTGAGTTTGAGGCCAGTCTGGTCTACATAGTGAGTTCCAGGACAGCCAGGACTACACAGAGAAACCCTGTCTAGAAAAATTTTTTAAAAGGGCAAAAGAAAAGAAAACAACAAGAAGAAATAGAAAAGCTGATCCTTATTGTACGAGGACAACTATTTCTCCCAGGTTTAGTTAGAATTAAGCACCAAGGGCTACTTTTTGAATAACTTATTTAATTCCATTTTGTGTGCATTAGTGTTCTGCCTGCACGTATGTTTGTGTGATAGTGTCTGATTCCCCTGCAACTGGAGTTACAGACGCTTGTGAGCTGCTGTTTTGGTGCTGAGAATAGAACTCAGTTCCCCTGGAAAAGCAGCCAGTGCTCTTAAACGTTGAGCCATCTCTTCAGCCCCTCCAAGGGCTATATATATATATATTTTTTTTCTGGATTATTCTCACTCTAGGCTCTGCCAGCAAGACACAACCTTTAGATGCCAGAGTCCAGGGAAACTGGAGTCCCACTGAGTCCCTGGGAAGTCTCAGCTCTTTTAGCCTCAGCGTGTAATATCCCTTCCACCTTCAGAGTCAGTCCTCTGAGAATTCTTATCCGAGGAAAGGGACCTCCTCTAAGAAATGGGAAAACCCTATCCTCATTCAAATTGGAATTCAAGGAAAATGAGTGATGACTCTGGAGATTGGACTCCACTATCTAGCCTTAGTTTATACCTCCCCCACTCCCGACTTTAGCTAGTAGAGCTTCAGTATTCCCTGGTCTCAGGCGTCCTCAACCACCTCCCCCACCCGGGGCAACCGCCCAGCTCTGCTGTTTAGGATAACACCAAGCCCTCCCCCTGGCCCCCTGTGGCTGCCTCCCCTTTCCGTCTGTTGAGAGAGGAAGCCAGGGGGTGGCGAGTGCAATGCTGCCGGGCACTGATAAAAGGCCAGTCCCATCCCCGCCCTCTGGGGCCACTGCGGTCACACCAGTAGGCAAGCCGGGCAAGGCAGCCAGTTCCCTGTGGGACCCATGGCCCTCCCCTGGTTCCACCTCTACCCACCCCGCCCTGCTCACCCTTCTCGGGAAGCTGGTTGCATAACCCAGTGGGGTGTTTGGCAACATTGCTTGTGGCTTGACCTGATGCTGATGGTGGTGTGCACATACGTAGTAGTGGGGGTGGGTTGGCCAGGGGTGACAAGTTAACCATTTAGGGGTGGAACAGCAAAAGTGGAAAATGTTAATATAGTAAAGTTATGTGGCCACTGTTCTGTCTGTATTCTGTCTCTGCTACCTTTGTTGAAGTGGAAGAATTTTGGAGACATGAAAATCTCTCTTTTTTTTTTTTTTTTTTTTTTTTTTTGTTTTGTTTTTTGAGACATGGTTTCTCTGTGTAGCCCTGGCTGACCTGGAACTCACTCTGTAGACCAGGCTGGCCTCTAGCTCACAGAGACCCGCCTGCCTCTGCCTCCTGAGTGCTGGGATTAAAATCATACACCATCAATACCAGGCGAGACAGGAAAATCTTAGTCATTGTCACTTGGACAAGTCTATGCAATCACTTAGGTGGCACTCCCCTAATACCCTGCAGATCGTAAATCAAGCAAAAGAGATTTGGTGTAGCAGAACACTGACTGTGGACATAAGGAATCTGAGAGGAGGGGCTAAAACAAATCCCCCTCTTCCTGGGGTGACTTAGAGGCAGGACACAGCCCAGAAACCACAAGACAGGGCTCTGCCTTGAGAGAGGGTGAGGTGAAGTGGAGGCTAGCTACTAGCTTAGCTCATACCTGGCCACATCTCAACAAACAGCATGTAAAAAACTCCAGATATCTCTAGGAGTCCCTACTGCCTACAGGAGAGAATACACCCTCCCAAGTTTGATTCTCAGAATGCCTTGTCCTTCAGCTCCTGTCAAATTTCACAGGCCTCCTTATCCCAGATCCCAGGACCTAGGAAAATGCTTACCGCTAGGTGACACCCCAGCCCCTGGGGTCTTTAGGCTTATCATCTACTTGTCACCTTAAGCACACTCCAGAAAGTCCAAAGTATTTGTATTTTATGCCTCACTGTACCCATACATACCTTTGCCAGAATACTCTTTTCTCCTTTCTCCACAGTTCAGATCCACTGGAAAACCCTCTCCTAAGTTTCAGCAGATAGAATTTATTTATTTCCTTCCATAGTGCTTCATATAGACTTTTTGTTTTGTTTTGAGATGGGGTCTTGTTTTGTAGCCCTGGATGGCTTGGAACTTGCTGTATAGTTCAGACCGGTCTGGAAATGGGCAATGTTTTTTTTTTTTTTTTCCTTTGCTCCATGACTGCTGGGTTTATAAGCATCTGCCACCACATCCAGCATTTTTCTTTTTTTAAGCAGTCTTTCATTATGTGTTACATGCTGACCTGAAACTCACCATGTAGCCCAGGTTGGCCTGGAAATCTCTGTCCTCCTGCCCCTACCTCCCAAGCCCTGGGTTTTTAGGCATGTGCCATCATGACCACTGGCTATAGATCTTATTGTGTGTGAGAACACAGACTGTTTTAGTCATATTTATGTTTCTGGAGTAGAAAATAAATATTTTTGAATGAATGGGGGCTAAGGTCTATGTTGTCTATAGAGGTATCTGAAATGCCACACTGTGTTCATAGACTATCTGTGACCCAACATTGTATAATCAACTGCATGTTTGACTGTCATGACCTCTTATCTCCTCTGAGGACCTGAATAAGTATGCATGTATGTGACCTAGATTCAGTCCCATACCAAGCCCTGAGCCCACATCCAGCATGCAGGAAAGCCACTGGATTGCCTTCTGTCTCACAGAAACCGTGAAGTAAAGGTGAGTGCCTGCCATCAGGATGGAATGCAGAGCACCCAGCCTTGGGTCTGGCTGGGCATGAGCAATCTCAGCCATGCTAGTGTGATGGGAAGCTTCTTGTGGTAACAACACTGCATCATTACTTGCTTGACTTTGTTGCCAGATTGTGGAGGATGCTGGGGAGAACTGGAGTGGACAAAGAGGAGGTGTTTGTGAAGGAAGTTAAGGGTTCCCAGCAGCTGCTTTTCATGCTCCAGGACAGAATATTCCCATTATTCTAATACAATCCTATCGGAGGGTCTGATAGAATGACAGCTCTGCCTAGTGTGTGTGTGTGTGTGTGTGTGTGTGTGTGTGTGTGTGTGTGTGTGTG